ACATTGCATAGCTCAGTATTGATTTTTATACAGTTACAAAGTTACCATCACATTTCAAAGCTTTAAACTTGAAGATCATTTCGGTCACCATCGAGGCATATAGTGAGGCCCTCCATCCACTCCGGTCCACGGCCAGGCCAGACGTCGTGAGACCCGTGGACCGGACGGGACACGGCGCCCGACACGGCGCCCGGGACGGGCGAAAAGATGGAGATCCTCAGAGTCCTCGGAGCGGAAGGTGCTGGAAGAGCTCGGAAGGGTCATGGGTACTCGTAATATAGACTCAAGGTAGGATTGTCTTGTTCGCGGAAAGAATCCAGATACTTCGCGGGAAGAATCCAGATACTTGGAGACTTGCATACATTATTGATATATCGATAGATAATCTATATTAAATATTGCTGTGTATAGGCTATGGAACTCTGCAGTTGTTGGTGCAAAATCCTACAACCCACCGGACCCACCGCAGATCATTTCGGCACTTTGCCCCATCTTTCGGGGCCGCGGCCCTGCACGGTCCGCCCGGGCCACCTGAGCACCGATCAGCGGTCCGAGCACCACGGGGGCTCAATGGAAGGAGCGAGGCGTGGATGGCATTGGACGGATGGTCCCGTGCTGGTCACGGATGGCGAAATAGATGTATAGCATTGTATAGCAGCATAGCATTGAAAAAACCCTATAGTAGCCGCTGGTTATTATTTCGGAGTGCATGTTGTTTTTTTGTGCGCGATTCTTTTTTTGGGCGGTTTGCGCTACCGCTGGAGCAATGGTCTTTGAGGAGAGAGGAGATAACTATACTTGTGAAGTTGTGAAGTTGTTGATGATCCGTGTGTATCCGTTTCACTTCTGGCGTTCGATTGGTCCTTTCACCTTGGCTGCGCCACAGATGATGAAGCGCAAGAGCCGTACAGATGCTGGATATGCAGAAGCGGAGGCCCTCACTCTGTCTGGGGGCAGAGGCACAGACATGGGAACAACTCATGTGAGTAGGGTTTGGTTTCCAATCATGGTACAGTAATATAGATTTGAATATCTTTGAATAGTACGAAAAGGCAGAATCTTTTGCATTTCTTACTACTCAAGTCTATTGAATATTCTGAAAAAAAGGTCCTCAAGGCCAGACACCGAACTTTAAGACCACAGGTTGGGCCACGGATTCAGAGTTGGGTCCTTGTTCATCCATTCTTTCCTTTTTCACTGCGACGTGTTGGGATCAATGGTCGATTGTTTGCATCACGGTACGCGCAGGAATCAGGAACTTTCATGATGTTCCTTTTCCTGAGACCCTCGCAGGTCACTCCGCTATCAATATTAGGTTCATTATATCGTTCCATCAGTTTGTTAACACAGATACGTCCTTGGTAGATCCCCGAGGCCATGTTGTTTGCCTCTCAACTGGCACATGCGTTTTCGTCCACCCATCATGTGGGGAGTACAACTCCCCCAAAACGAGCTTTGCTCGTAAAGTAGTTCTCCGTGAAAACGAACAACATCATCTAGACGCATATTATATGTCAACCTGCTCAGCTCAGAGATTTTTGACCCCCCACCATAGCCATACCAATAGCCCGGTGTGCAGTAGATCCAGCTGTTGGGACTAAAAACTAAAACTGGTGCTTCAGCCGGCCACCCTCCAGTGTTGGTAGTTAGGAGTGAAGTATGTAGAGTCATGCATTTTTTGGGGCAATGGCTAAACAGTTCAGGATCTATCATGTTCCAGCAAATGAGGTTACATGAGGTTTCCTGATCTTCGTAGCTGCTGAGCCATCCTGATGCATCCTGAGCTCATTGTCATTACAACAGACCAGTGGGGATACCAACACATATGAAGTGCTTGGTGCTAATGGTGCTGGGGCTGATATGGACATCCACATATCTCCACATCTATTTCACAGACCATCACAGACCCCACCCCCCACAAAAAAAGATCACATCGACCTATCTCCAAACAGTGATGAATGATGATGAACGTGTTGTTTTTTGTAGAATTATATCATATATCATTTAATAGAATAGAATTACATCATATGATTCATTGTCATTAAATCATCATCATTATTCATATCATATAGAATTATATCCTTCATATCTCCCCCCAAAGAATCACCTCCCCATCCACCGATGGGTCCAAGAACGATGTTACCTGACCCCGCAGGCCACGGAGTCGAGGAGGTGCCCAGCAGCCGTGCGGATGGGGTGTCGCCGAAGCGGGTTGGTTTCGACACCGGTGGAGGAGTGGTAGAAGGCCAAGATGCAAATGGAAGATGATAAACAGCAAGACGATACAAGACGGTATATAGTATGTGTTCTTGGATTGTTTTTATTTGTTGTTTTTTTTTCAGAACAAAAAGCAAGAGACAGTCTTGATGCTTCAGAAAAGTCAGCGATTGTTTCTTCAATCACTGGTGACTTGTTTTTGAAGCTTGTACTGTTTTTAGGTACAAAACCGACCTAACTGAACTGAAATTGATTGCTTGAACCCAGCAGTGTTCTTCTTGTCACAAATGCCTGTCTTGAGGGCAGAAGACCGGAAAGATGTTGTTCCTCTAGTAGAAATATAGAAACTTGCGCATATAGGATGATCCAGGATGAACAGATAAGGCATGATAAGACCTTTTGAATTCTTGCTTAATTGCTGTAGTCCAGAGGACTATGCCCGTCTGATTTTGCAGGATTGTTCAAGAACAACAAAGCCTCCTGCGGCTCACCACGGAGGGTCCCAGCAACATTGACAGCAAGGCAGCTCCGGCGATCGTTGTGTTCTCGTTGCTTGTCTCAAGATGCAACTTGCTCCCTCAACGAATCAGATCCAATTCAGGTATTTCCTTATTTTTTTCAGTTAGATGTGCGACGATCTGAAAAGCCAGACAAAGAAAGAAAGAAACAAACAACTAATACCCAAACACTTCTCAGAGTTCCATGCCATGGCAGCATGCTGCAGTCATTTTGGTTGCGAGCTGCTTCGGTGCATCGTGTGACCGCCATCGACCGCTACAGGACTTCTGTGGCGCCTTTGCTGCGCTGGGCCTGGACAACTCCTGGGACCGACCGACGGCGCTCGGGTTGCTGCGCTGAGCTAATGATAGATAAGGATCGAAGAACTCCTTGGTTTTTGCTTAAGGTGTATAATATAATATAACATAATTTTGCCTGTTTTAATACACATTTGGGGGAATCAGTGTTTGATTTTGTCCTGTTTTTTTCCTGGACAGCAAATCCATGGAACCCCCCAATGGTGTTTGTCCTCCGGGATACCTGTGATCTGCACGTCGCGGACACGTCGAATTCGTCGAACCCGTCCATGGTGGTTGACCATCAGCCCAAGCCTCCTGCCATGCCCGAGTTTTTGCCGGCCTTTCAACTTTTCCAGCCTCAGTTGAAGGACTCGAAGGCCTTCAAGAAAGACTTTAAGATTGACATCAAGACCTTAACTGATGAGCACGTTGTGCCGGAGCCTTAATCGCCCATTGTTGTGCGCGGCCTCGAGTTGACTTTTTGCTTGACATGCAGCCTTGGTCTTGCTATAGTGGGTACGGTTCTTCAATTGAAGCCAGTTGATGCCAGTTGATGCCATTTGATGCCATTTGTACATGACTTGATATCCATTGTCGATTCTCTTTTGAGGTTCGACATGATCGGCATAGACCCTCCCTTGGTGAATGCTTTCAGGCGGGGTTGCATGGGTCCAGGCCTCATGCACAGCCAAAAAGTGCTCGGCCAAAACTCCAAGTTTGGCTGGCACAGTGTTTGATCTTGTAAATGTCAACCGCAGTTTCACTTGCTTACGGACGTGACGAAAGTGTAGGAACCAATTGCTCATTCCAACAGTCTTCAGCACGTGGACAGACCTATCAGAATGGTCAGAGTAAGTTTGAGTCAACAGAGCCTCAAAGCCTTCGGATTGCGTAATAATTAGTTGGACGAGATTCTTGAGTACTTCACAGACAGATCAGTTTGGTGAGAATCCGAAACGCATGAGATTATCCTTGAACAAATGCATGAGATGCCAAGACCAAGATGTCACGAAAGGTAGCGGTTACGCTACCTGAGTTTTCCTTTTGCTTTAGCAAAAATGTATTAACCCAGAGCTGCAGCCTATCTCTCGGAGAAATGGTCCCCGACATCTTCGTTTGCGGGCCGGGGGGGGGGGCCCCCCCCCCCCTTTCAACTCCACCCTAGCGCGCCTCGGGGTCAACCGTTCGAAAACACT